CAATCGTGGTCTACATTTGCAAAATGTTAGTGTGTTTCAAAATCAAGATAAAAAATGTTGCAATCGTTCTGTCCATCTCTATGTGTATATATATATATATATATATATATATATATATATATATACACACATGTTGCAAACGCATTATACACAAAGAATAGTTATCAATTATAAATCTATGCGAATCCATTATTCTGATTAGTTTTTTCTAAAAATTTGTAACTTTTTTATACGTTGAATGAAATGATGGAGAGGATCGATTTGGATGTAACATATTTCGTTAAAATGAAATAGAAATAGTCTCAATGTCTTTGATGAAAAGATGGATGAGTGAAATAGCGCGCGCGCGCACACAATCTAGAAAATATATCAGTGCATGTATGTATGTATGTATAAGAACGTACGTACATATAAGTGAGCAAGTAATTTAAATGAATCACTGTATATACATCGAGACGCGATAGGTCTCTCCTCCTACGTCTTTCGCTCTTCTCTTTCATTAATTTTTAGTCGACATCAAGGTCATCAACCTTACATCTTTCAAAGTAACACACGTGCGATGCGATGTGGGGATTGGGGCCTGAAGAAGCAGAGGACCGTAGGGAAGAGGAAAGGGGGCCTGTAGAGTCTTAAAGGCTTTAGGGGTCTGGGCGAGGGCTAGAACCAATCCTTTCGTTTTGACGATTCACGGAGCTCATTTCGTCCTTCATGGCCATATATGTGGCCAGCTGGACTTGACCTATATATTATTATGCTATTGGCGTACAGATGCAATGCGAGTCGTTTTGCGAATGTACCCGCAGGGCTTTACCGAGGTCAAGCCTGGTTAAGTATATTGTCGTAAGTCCTTCCTACCTGTGTAAGTATATTGTGTGTGATATGGTCTGATACTCAACGACGATAGAGATGCGTAACATAAAATATGGTAAACAATTTGTGACTAGCGATAGGATATATCCGAGGGTATCGATATTATTTGTATATTTTATGTTATTTACGTTCGAAATTTTATATAAATTTTTGGTTTAACAATTGTTCGAAATTATTAAAAATTAATTTTTATCATTTTAATTATAATATTTACACGTGTGTGCGTGGATATAAGATAATTTCAATTCTTTTTCATATCAGAGATACATTTATATTACAAACTACCTTTCCTTCGCTCAAGGTTTAATTCCCGAGTGCCCTTCGATTATTCGCCGAAAGTCTCATTCTTGACCGGTATTCAAGAAGGCCACAAGATCACGGTGCAGCTCTACCACGCACCGAACTTGGCCGCGGCTATAAAACGGATCGCGGGCAGTGTGGAAGGTCAGTGAGCGACGAGTTCGCGTTCAGCTCTCGATCAATTTTCATCTTTGTACTTTGCATAACAACTTCTTTTTTTAACTCAGTAAACATCAGCATTAGAAAGAAGAAAATGATTTACAATTAGCAATGGTATATTATATATTATATTTTTCATGTAAAAATACACAAGAAAACACATCTAAAATGTAAAGAAGGAATAAAATCGCGCGGTTAAAGTTGTCAACTAGTTATTTTCTTACAACTCGGAGAGATAGTGATCGCGATCTATTTTGACAAAAATATGGAGTTTCAAGTATCTCTAGACTTAAAGGAGCAGATCAACCTGCAGTCTTCACCTGCGCGCATGAAGAAATCTGAAACGAAGGACAGCATTTCCTCCGTAGATAGCGACGTAAGCCTTTCTTTCGACCGAAGAGGTTCCAAGAGTGATGAGGCTGATTTGTCGGATTATGATGATGAGATCCGGTTTATAGAGAAGATCGATATCGATCAAGATTCGGGTGCGGATTCCGTGGATGACGCTACGTCGAAAGAATTGAAAAAGCAGAAACAAGTGGATGATGTTGGACTGTTGGAATCTCCAACAGAATCAACGAAATCGACGGTTTCAACGACGATCGAGAGAACGACCAATGATTTCGTGCCACCGAATGATGAGTTAGCCGACAAAATATGCGCTCAGGTGGAATACTACTTTTCTGACGAAAATATCATAAAGGATGCATTCTTATTAAAACACGTTAAAAGAAATAAGGAAGGCTACGTATCTCTTAAATTAATATCCAGCTTCAAAAAGGTGAAACATCTCAGCAGGGATTGGAGAGTAGTCGGAATTGCTTTAACGAGATCTAAGAAGCTCGAGCTTAATTCACAAGGGACGAAGCTGCGTAGAGTGAATCCTTTACCATTCTTCGACCAGACAGCTCCTTCCAGGACCATTTTAGCGGCTGGATTACCGCTAGAGGAATTAACGGTTGAATCTGTCGCCGAGATTTTTAAGCCTTGCGGCGAGATAGCATTGATAAGGGTGCTCAAACCTGGACGTCCTGTACCTCCGGAGGTAAAACATCTTGTAGTCTCTTTTAAATGGCAAAAACATTGCACGTTAATGGAATAAACAATTAAGTAGCTTTCGAGTATTCGTTCTGCAATGCGATATTTGCTCAATTTATAAATTTTTCTATTTAGATGTATTTTCAAATATAGATTTAATTGATATATGATATATGCATAATATATACAGATTTAAATAATTAGATTAAATTTAATTCGCAAATGCATGGCCTTTCGCATCGTTTTAGATTGCTTATTATAACTGAAAAAGTGTCCACAGTCGAGTCTTTAGCTAATTGTAAGAAAAAGATAATTGCAAATTGGTCCAAGAATATGCTTACGAATTTCAACTCTGTCTTGTCGTAGGTACTTGAGAAAAAAATATCTACCTATTGCATAATATATAAAGATGTGGTACAGCGAGTATACATATACTTTTAAGAACAATTTCATTGTTAGTGTTATTATACGCTTGTCTCTCCTTTTTACATTGCTGTTACCACATATTTTCTTCGATCGGTTTTCTTTTTCTTAAGTTTTTGAGAATACAAGGTAAAAATGCGCATAAAGAAACGTATAAGTAAGAAGACTACTAATTATCTTAATAGAAAAATTAATGTTATTCGCGTAATTCCTAGTGTCACAATTTTCTCAATTATACTGTTGACAATCCAACAGACCGGAACATTGCCCGAGATCATTGATAATAACTAACAATATCTCGGCTAATGCTTGTTTATTGCGTTTCCACACTGTCGCCTATTAAATTTTCCACAAATGCATTCTACCGTGACATTATACAATAACAGAATAGATCGTCACTGTGACGTAACGTTCTTGCACTGCAATTAACTTATAATATGATATAACATCCATCCACTAACAAGCTATAGTTGAGCTCCATAAGAGCTAAAATATATAAGGTTTCCACTGCAGTGGTAGATTATTCGATTGAATCAATCGTTGCGTCAGCTAGTACTATAAATATGATATATATTTATATTTTTAATTTTTTTCACGTCTTTAGAAAACTTACCTTTTTCAATTGTTTTACCAGAGTAACAGAGATGTTAAAATTTTTTTTTCTAATTTGTAAGAGATTAAATTACGTTTATAATATTATATAATGATCCGCGCGCGCTACATCAATGCATGCATATATATAAAAATAATCAGTCACAAATGATCATTACGTGTACAAATTTCACTTTGCGTAATACTCTTAACACTCAATGACAGTAGATTTAATAAAGTCGAAACGAAAAATAAAATTTTGGCAATCGTTACTCGTATATAGGTACGACAGGCAATCGCTAAAAGGCCAGAATGGAATTCTATCGAGGAGTACGCCATGGTCGAATTTACGGATTCAGTTTCCGCGCGAATCGCCACGCAAATGACTTTGGGTGACGCAAAAGTATTCGAATTACGTCACTCAGTTGATAAGAAGAAGAAGCACCAGCTTACCAAAAAATGCACCCTCAATAGAGTAGCAAGAGAAGACAATTACAACTCATCCAGTTGTCCCAGTGGATCCGAGCCTGAGGATGGGAGAGTAAGGCTTAACAGAAGCTTTCAGGGATATCCGATGTATCATATTCATAATACAGGTTATCCTTTTCAAGGTATCATATCACAAGAAAATGTCGTTTGTGTAAAATATCAACTGCATACACCAACATTACTCTTTTCATCTCGATTTTGAGTTCATATTCTTTCTCGTAACATTTCTTTTATCATTTTGTTACAATTTCTTTGACTTTTGATATTAGATTTTTTGAGATTAAACATATATTACCCGCGTTAAAATTAAAGCTGTGAAATGCTTTTTTGATCATTATGTTACGATCATTTTTGACGAAATTACTCTCTTTTGAAATTTATTTAATAAATTTAAATTTAATAAATTAAATTTTGCCTATTTTTAGCGATCAGAATAAGTGATATATCCTTTAATTTTGGCGCGGAGTGTATCTGAAATCTTAAAGATTTTGTTATAGTAAAAAAAGAAATTTGTTTTCTCCGTTTTTCATTATCTTATTTCCATCCCACGCGTGCATGAGAGTTGCGTGTAAATAGAAAAAAAAATTAAAATTAAAATCGGTGTCGAGTCTCGACAGCTTTATCGTTGGGAGAAAAGAAAAATACGATTAACGACTGATCATTGTAGAATTGATTGTATAATAATTGTAATACCTGTAATATATATTTTAATGTTATATAAAATTGTTAGAAAATTATAAATAATACAAAATATAAATAATACGAATAGAATTGATCGAAAGAAAATGTCGTTTTTTTCCACTTATGCTACAAGATTTGTTAATCAATGATGCTTTGTAGAACAAAACACTTAACTATCTTTCTTATTATAGCTGGATTACCATTATCGGACACATGTTTATCTCGTAAGCTCTCATCCTGCTCTATATCAAGTTCCGAGAACGGTTTTATGTTTCGGCGTTTGTCTTCTTGTTCCGGTTCCGGTTCCGGTTCCAGCTCAGACTCTAGTAGACGTTACTCCACTTGTTCGTCTGGTTCTGAAGCAGCTATCCTTCATCCAAGTTACTCAAATAATTTCTTTCGTCACGAAAGTCGTCGTTACTCCTGCTGTTCTTCTATTGGTTAGTAATCATATATATCGTATATACACATAAAATTGTCACGATGGACTCATCTATCGTAAGACAATTACTTTTCACCCATAATACGTTTTATCTCATAGACTTTCCTACGTGTTACATAAAATACTAATTATGTACGTTTATTTGAAGCGATGCAATCAATTTATAGATTTGCTATTTATCACAGGTACTCCGATGGATTGCCGGGGAAGCTGCTATATCACAAATCGTCGTGGATCGGCTGACTATGGTCCGAGAAGAGTCTCAACATACAGTCGTGATTTCGACATGAATGTCAGGAGATCATCTTTATGCTCTACGAACTCGGAACAAAATATATTTTATCGAACGAGAAGCAACAACAGTATCGCGATGACGCATGTACCTGAGAACGTGACGAGAATGCCATCAGGACCCGATGGCACTCGCGGTTTTTTCATTCGAAGAATATCAACGCCTCTAGAATCTGCTCATCGAATATAAAAAAATTATTAATGATAAGAGGACATGCTAATACAATATCGATTCGGTATTGATATATTATACAAATCGAACAAATCAAGTTAGCAATACATTTAATATTTCTCACAGTTTATCCTCATGAAAATATAATATTGAAAATTATTAAATTGATATTATATAAAACAGTTTTAATTTATCACTGCAGGCCGTATCTATTTTTATATTTAGTACCATACAATCTATGTAATTCGTAATTGTGACATTGATGAATAAGCAATCGAATAAATGATAAATATCTAAATTAAATTCGATTAAAGTAAAATTGAGAACATGTAACCTGTGTGAGTTCTTGAGCGCGATATAGCGATTATTATCCGATAGTCGGGAATGTGTTGTACTAATAATTTTCAATACTTATAGTAAGAGATAGTTTTAGCTCGTTCCAATAAACTTATACGCGAGTGAATTATTTTTAAAAGTTGTTTTGCCTTATATTTCTTCTTTATGGCTGTGCTAACT